AGGACTCTGGCTAGCAAATCACAGCTCTCTAGAGGGATTTCAAACACATAAAGAGCTGTGATTGGTCCATAATGGTGGGCCAATCATAGTGCTCTATCTGCTTAGTGAACAAATCACAGAGCTTTATCTGCTTTGTGGGCCAATCAGGACACTCTATATGCCTGGTGGGTGGGATGATGCAACAGAGTGAAACCAAGCCCCCACAATGTGGCTTTAAAATTGAGTCCAACCCTTGCAGTTCCACCCTCATCCGCTGGGGGCTGGTATCAAGCGAGCAAATCCTCATTGACTCCCATGTTAAAAATGCCAATTTCACAGCAGAAATAAACATGTTTACAGCCTGGTACCAAAACATGTTTTTTGTTTAAATTATCTAGTTTACACTCATGACAGCTCTGAGGGGGGTGAATTTTTCTCACACTTCTGTTTAAGTGTAGTAAAAGCCCAAAATTCTGTATAATTAATGAGCATCAGACCCACGTGACCACAGAGCTAGCTCCATGGAAAGGCCTCAGTAGAGCCTCGGTCTGGCTTGGAAACTGTTTCGGGATTTTGAGTCTCTGTGTGTGTATATTCTTTTTTGGATATTTTTTGTGCAATTGTTGGACAAAATGACTTGCTGTGGCATTAATTGCACTAATAGAGCGTCCAAGGAGTCTCCACTTCATTTTTTTCGGTAAGTAAAATTATATTTATGTATTTTAGGTCACTGCCGAGCTGAGCTTAGATTTTAACATGTACTGTTTAACCATGAAATTTAAATGTAATAGGGTAAAACCCAGTGCATTTAACATAATGCTGCACTTTAGAAAATGGGTTGAAATATAACATGTTGGTGGAGCTGGGTTCCGACTATCGGCTTGTGGAGCTCTCGGCAGACCTCTGTTTTCCACCCGGAATGCCGGCTGTTTCTCCCAGCAGCCCGGTCCATCTCTGTCTGATCGCGGCTTCTGTCTGCTGCGGCGGGTTGCCGGCTTGTGGAGCTCTGGGATGGAAACCTTTCCACCCGGTTCTCCCCAGCGGCAGCTCTGCGCATCTCAGATCGCAGCGGCGCTTGTCTGCTGTGCAGCTGCCGGCTTGTGGAGGTCTCCAAGACCTCTGTGTTCCACCCGGTTTTACCCAGCGGTCAGCCTGGCGTATCTCTGACTCAGAAGCTCTGGTGTTGTGCACAGTTAACTCCGGTTGTAGCTAGGTTGCTACCTCCGTTAGCTTAGCTCCCACCTCCGCATTAGCTTTGGGTTAGCTTCAAGTTAGCTTGTAGCTAGTTCGACCAGGTGTCGTCAGTTGATCCCAGCCTTACAGCCCCACCCTCAGCTCCTCCTCTCTTCCCTTTTATGGAATTGTCTGGGCTTGACGGAACCTGTGACACGGTCAAAATGGCGGTGGTGGCCACCTCCCATTTGGGATCAAAAACGTGATATTGGAGCCTATGGAAAGAAGATGTCCACGTATATTATGTCGATGAGTGAAACAAGAGTATGTCACATTCTTTGTCCAGTGGAATGCGGAGATCATTTGAAAGACGATGGTAGAACCCGCCCCACAACCGAGAGCCGTCAATGGAGTGTTGCCAGACTAAATAATACATTTATTTAGTCTGGCTTGCCAGGCTACTGTATCACAACTGTTGCTCACAACAGGTTCCTCAGTAACGGGACAGGCTGGTGCTAAAGCCCAAATGAGTGTCTATCACAGACAAGGTGGTAGAGTAGTGTTGTTTCCTACAAGCCAAACTCTTTAAAGGCACATAAAATAACAGCTGAAACAATTTATTTAAAGCCTAGATGATGAATTTTGAGAATTCTGAGGAAAAAAGTCAGAAAGTTGAGATTGGATCTGACATTATTGAGAGGAAATTGGTGATCTGTTTTCCTCTTCCATAAATATTTACAAGATTTTTTGTCTTTTTTGAAGAAAAAAAAACTTTTTTTAAAATTATTTTTGTTTGTTTGTTTTAAAATTTAGAAAAAGGGTTCGGAAAAGGGTAGAATGCCTTCTTCGGGTCAGGGATGAGATCCTGCCCCAAGTGGAGGAGTTTAAGTATCTCAGGGTCTTGTTCATGAATGAGGGAAAACTGGAGCGTGAGATCGACAGGTGGATTGGTGCTGCATCTGCAATGATGTGGGCGTTGTACCGGTCTGTCGTGGTGAAGAGAGAGCTGAGTTAGAAGGCGAAGCTCTCGATTTACCGGTCGATCTACGTTCCTACCCTCACCTATGGTCCTGAGCTTTGGGTGGTGACCGAAAGAACGAGATCGCTGATACAAGCGACCAAAATGAGTTTTCTCCAAAGAGCGGCTGGGCTCTCCCTTAGAGATAGGGTGAGAAACTCGGTCATCCGAGAGGGGCTTGGAATAGATTCGCTGCTCTTCCACATCGAGAGGAGCCAGTTGAGGTGGCTCGGGCATCTAGCCAGGATGCCTCATGGACGCCTCCCTGATGAGGTTTTCTGGGCACGTCCAACTGGGAGGAGGAGACCCAGAACACGCTGTAGGGACTATGCCTCTCACCTGGCCAGGTAACGCCTTGGGATTGCCCTGGAGGAGCTGGCCCAAGTTGCTGAGGAGAGGGAAGTTTGGGCCTCTCGCCTTAGGCTACTGCCCCCGCGACCCGACTGCGGATAAGTGGATGAAAATGGATGGATGGAATTTAGAAAAAAAATAAATATTTTCAAAAAGAGCATTGATATTTTTTCAATAATAAATATATAATAATTTATTTTTAATGTGTGTTTGTGGGGGTAGGAGGTGTGTGTATGTGTGTGTGTGTGTGTGTGTGTGTGGGGGGGGGGGGGGGGGGGGGTTCCTGGCTGGACTTGGACACAAGGATAAAAGGATGTACAGTACAGATATTTTCACATTTGGAGTTTTGATAGAGGCAGTAGAGACCCACATGGCACCACAAAAGATGAGTTGGTATGAGATGGTAACATTTTACAATATGGGTCCTTTTATTAACATTACTTAGAGCATTATTAAGCATTAATAAACTGTTAAATAAGCTATTAACAACTGCTTAATATTAATAGGTAACATCAGAAACATTAAAGGGATACTTTGTTTGTTCATGCTTAATAATGCACTAAGTACTGTTAATAAAGTGACCCTTATTGTAAAGTATTACAGATGGGTTTTCATTAATATGTCCACTTTAACATAAACGTTTTTCATCCTGTTCACCCCTTAGTGGTTTCAAGTTTCCCTGAACTTTGTCCAACACACTGTGGACCTGCATACCGTCCTGTGGACTGCGGAGTTTATGTGTCAGTGTCGAAAGTGAAGCTTAGGAAAGTTTCCAACCTGGAAAAACTGAGAGGCACCCCTCTCTCAGTTTGCACAGTTAGTGGAAAAAAATATCTGTCTGTGTTTTTCGATGAATCAGTTTATGTTTGTGTTTATTTCTGTTGTTTAACTTAACCCGAAGGTGTCATCAGGGACATTTTTGTCCATTTGGGCAGTTTTTTGCTTTTTCTTTGGACGCCATTTTAGCAAAGTTTATGTACTGTATATGGTACAAAGTTTTGTTGCACAACCTCTCTCTGGACTAATTTTGAAATTCAATTTGGAATTTGCTCCTTTGTTGTCACAGAATTAATTTAACCAGATAATCAAACTACAAAGTGTTTGATGGTGCCTGGGCTCTGGCCAGGTGCATAAACATACGGTACTTTCCGGACTTTAGAGCGCACCTCAACATAAACCGCATCGGGCTGAAAGCTGCAGATATCTACTGAACTGAAAACGTAGTTTAACTGTCAGTGTCACTCTCCGTGTTGCTGTCATGATCCCGGGGTGAAGAGGTGAAAACATGCAGCGCCGTTTTACTGTGAAAAAATCCTCCGGGGCGCCTTCCGTAGCACTCCTTTCCAGCATCCATCCTTTTAAAGCCGCGCACCTCATTATAAGCTGCGTTCAAAGCGTGGGAAAAAGTAGCGGCTTATAGTTTGGAAAATACTGTACTAATTGTTTTTGTGTTCTACACTTTGAAGTTCAGTACGAGAGTAAAACTGTGTATTATTTACTTATTAGAGGTCATGTTGACCTTTTGACTTCGATTCAAACTGCAAAAGAAATGTGTAGAGTTTCTCACCCAGAATTTGGAGGTGAACAGTAAACATAATAAATTAGGCTACTTTTCTCCTAAATGAAACCCTAATATCACAGAAAGCATGATTATTTGTTGCAGATATTACAGGAACAAAAACTGATTTGAATGGAAGTCAACGGAACATTTTTGTCCACTAACATCACAAGAGGATGGTAACTTTTAAATCTGTTGCTACACAAAAACTATTGATGCAAAATTGATTTGTAGATATTTCATAAAATAATCAAAACTGATTTATAATTAATGCCCCAAACAGAAAAAATAGTTTTTTTCATGGGGCAATAACAATTTTTTTGTTTTTCTTTCATAAATTACAGTAATGACTTTGAGTAATCAAACTTACAATTGAAGGGTTAAAATCCTCAAAATGATGGAAGTTGTAATACGTTTCAGCAGGGCTGAAGTTGTTTAACAGAGCTAAAAAAAAAAGGTTTAAGAAATATGAATGCATTAATTTTTATAACTGTAGCGTAGTTAATCTACATAACTAGAATTTAACGCTGTTTCTATGCAGCTCTGCTAAATCCTGAGAAAGATCAAACAATTGGCAAATGAAACTTTATATATATATATATATATATATATATATATATATATATATATATATATATATATATCCACTGATATTTACATAATCGAGAAGATTTTACCCAGTGGACAAAAATGTCTGCTAAGGTCACAAGATTATAGTAAATTAAAGTGACGCCTGAGGGTGAAATTTTATTATATCTTCAGGAAACTAAACTTATTTAATAGTAATGCTTTGTAAGTCATTTAAAAACACCAATTCCAGTGTTTACAAATTTGTTTTGCCTTTCCAGCGTTTAATATGATTTAACACCTCTTCCCAAATTGAACCATAAACCAGCTGAAGAAGTAAACAATCAGCCCTACCTCAAACCCTCGATGACTTCAGACTGAAGCAGATTTTCTTTAATACGGCCCGTCTCACAAGGCGGGGAGCCCAGAAGTTCGATAACTGTTACATGACGTAAGTCTATTCCACAGTCAGATTTCTGATGAAAGGAAAAACAAACATTCGAAGGTTTCTTGTTCATTAAACCTCTACAGAACTTTTTCAGGAAATTATGGGTAATATTTTCTCACTTGTATCATGACATTTTGCAGCTGGTAGTCTGAGTCAGAAACATTGGGAGCAGAAAGGATCAGCAGCCTCCTCTTTTCATAGAACTGGTCCAGGAAAGCAGAAGTAGTCTTTACATCAAATTTAACTTCCATTGCTGCAACACAAGATCATCTACATCATGCACAAATCACACTACACACTGCTGTGGAGCAGAGAGAAAACAGGAAATGGACTAAACAGTAAACATTAAACTGTGACAGTGCAAAAATTATTAGTTATATTAAATCTAAAAACTGTTATGAGTTTCTGGTGTTCACTTGTGCATGTTTCAATCTGTTTTTCTCAAGGTAAAAAGACAAGTGATTTTTAAAAAATCACTTGTCTTTTTGTAGAGAAAAGAAGAGCTCCGTTTGTATGTGCACTCAGTGCTTTCTTAGAAGATTTTAGATAAAAACCCAAATCGGGCAGCTGTTAAAGACACATTGGGGGGAAAAAAACATTTGAATCATTCAAGACAATTTGGCTCCAGGCTATTATTTTTTATTAAAAATAATGTTAGTGAGGCACAGATGACACACCCACAATGTAATGAGTAATTTTATGTAACCGCAAGGCCTGTTTGATTACTTTGGTCTTATAAAGGTAACCATTGTGGGATTTGTTGGCAATATATAAATATTAGTATATGTGTTATTGCTGGACATACAACACTGTAAATTTTGTGTACTGAACTGAACACTAGGTGGCAGCAGAACACTGCTAATATTTAGAGAGGTGTAGTGTAGAGTTCAGGGGAAGTTCTGCTGATGGTTACAACATTAATGCTGTGTGTGTGCGCTTGTCCCTCCTGCTGTAATAATGTTCATACGGATAAACTGACTTCCTGCCTGATTTATATAAACTACAAAATATAATGCTAAAATGTTTTTTTTCCTTCATGAAGAGCGATTTCTCATGATTCATTTAATTGTAGTTTTTAGTTGTGTTTTGAGCACGTAAAAAAGTTTTACAGGTGCTGGTCATAAAATTAGAATATCATGACAGTTGATTTATATCATTAATTCCAAAAAGTGAAACCTATATATTATATTAATTCATTGCACACCGACTGATATATTTCAAACGTTTATTTCTTTCAATTTGATGATTATAACTGAGATAGAACAAAAATCCCAGATCCAGCATCTCAAAATATCAGATTATTAATTAAGATCAACACAAGGAATGTGACAGATGAAACCATGTCTTGTATGTCTGTGCATGGTGGTTCTTGAGGCGCTGACTCCAGCTGTAGCCCACTCTTTGTGAATCTTCCCCACATTTCTAAATGGAGTTTGTTTCACAATCTTCTCCAGGGTGTGGTTATCCCTATTGCTTCTACACTTTTTTCTACTTTGTCTTTCCTTTTGCCTCTCTATGGGCAGCTTTCCATCTGGGCCGGCATGGGCCGGGCTAGGTGGTGTCAGTCTGGCTCCCGCACCAGTAGGGTTTGTTAACACACACTTCTCAGGAACGGGGAAATCCTGGAGCACATGGGCGGAGAAAAGGACAAGTGGAAAAATCTGTAGTGTCCTTTAAACAAAGGCGACCATGAGCGCACGCGCGTGTGTGTATTTGTGCGTGTGAGTGTGTGTGTGTGTATATAGCTATATGTCTATAGATCTACCGGTATATATATATATATAAAGTCTTTGGTATGACCCAACCGGGATTTGAACCAAGATCTCTCAGTGCCAGGGTGGACACTCTACAACTTGGCCAATGAGCTGGTTTATAGATATATAAACATGGTATAGATTATTTTTTTTGTTTTTAGATTTTTTTCTCCCTTCATATGGATGAGCCCCCACTGTTGTGATGCAATCGGCCTTAAAATGCATATTTGGAAGGATACAGAATATGAATTTGGACACAGCCAACATTTTAAAAGCCTCTCCCTCGACAACATGGGAATTCCTCCCCACTGAAGCTCATTATATCCTCAAAAACATGCCAAATACTTCATACTACTGTGATTTCACAAAAAGGGTAAAATACTATGATTATCCAGTGTTTTGTGACCCACAAAATCTTTGAATGATTGGCTGCAAGTATGTTGCAGTAGTTGTCTTTCAAAGAGCACAAAGTTGAACAAGGATCTAAAGGATTGTTTTCAACCCTCTTGTGTGGTTCGTGGGACCCTGTACTCACGGACACACTCTGCAGCTCCCTCACTCCAACTGAGGTTGGACTGGCAGACTCGACTGGACGTCCCTCTGCGCTCATATCCTCCATCACAGTGGTACTCGCATGTCGCACCGTAGTTGTTCCCGTCAGAAGAGCAGCTGAGGTAACCATGCAGAGGTGGAGGTATTTCAGTACATCTTCTCACTGGATGGAAAACATGCGGAAATCACGCTGGCCTCAGCTCCACGTGTCCTATGTCTACCCATTTCATAACTCAGACAGCCCTTACCCTCAACACGTACAATAAACTTGCAGGAAGCGCGGTTCCTAGCTTGATCGTACACCTTGTAGCGGATTATGTTTACTCCCTCTTTGAACTCGGTGCCGGGCTCCTGCCCCTCTAAAATCACACTGCAGAAAAGCAGTAAAAAAAAAAAAAATCTGGTATTTAGTTAAAAACTTTAAATGGAGTACAGAAAAGAATTATCAGCATACTTAAGGTGTTTATCAGCAGTATCTGTGGCTTTTGGGTGGTCCCAGATCACGGTGGCTGTGAGCTTTCCAGGCTCTGCAAACCTGAGTCTGGATGGTGGACATTTTATCTTTGGAGGATCGGTATCTGAAATGAATTAGCACTCAAGCAACACTGATATGACACATTGTTTAACCTAGAGGAACTGTTGCTGCAGAGTATGAACACTAAAACAACAACAGGATGTGCCACGGATCCAGCCCAAAGGAACAAAACGAACAGGAAATGTGCTTTTTTTGAGTTTGGCACTCACAGTAAGTTTGTTTTGTATGAGAATGACATAAAATCTGGACACCAGAGCAGACCAACTCAATCTAATTGAAAATAAAATTTCCGGGATGACTGTAAAGTTTGAATATTGACCCAGTTTTACTGAAGCTGTACCTGAACACTCTGGCTGTACTCCGCTCCATAACCCTCTGGGCTGGCAGGTGCGTGAGTGTTCCCCCTCAATACGATAGCCAGGGATGCAGGTGAAGTCACACCTGGAGTCCACCACAAAGCCTTGTGTGCAGGTGTATCTGCCATGCGGAATGAGGGGCAGCACATGGCAACGGACCTCTAAAGAGACATCACCACAAAACATGAACTGTCATTTTTGCAGAGTGAACACGTTTGACTGAATTTGTTGTATTTTTCCTGCAATTTCCTACTGCGGCAGTAAGCGGTCCCAGACCAGCGACGATTGGAGAGACACTGAATGGACTTTCTTCCCAGCAGCCGGTAGCCTCGATCGCAGGTCATCTGACAGCGGGTGCCCAATGTTCCCCTGTAGGCCCGACCTCGAGGGGATTGACAGGTCACCTCACCGTTGGTCAGACTCGGAGAACGACACCAGTTTGGGTCTAATTTGACAAAAATATATATATATTTAGGCAAAGCGCATGTGATGTAATGGAGAGTATCGAGTTGCAGTTTCCTAAGTTTTTCCACCCCTATTGCAAATCTGAATGCTGTTCTATAAACTCTTTCACATTTGTACATTTCACATCATGTGATCAGAGAATTCTGTAGATCTCGACCACAGAAATGGGATATGGAAATAAGTCAGTTTCTTTCAGGCTGGAATTCACTGAATGTTATACTTATGGCAATGTAAATGTTTTAAAACAGCGCTTGCATTAACTACTTTAACATGTTTAAAATTGGAATTGTTTTAAGGCATTTCCATAACTGTTTCAACTGTTTATTTTAGCATTTAAGTTTTTCTGTCTGGCCAGAACTGTTCTGTTTCTTCAAACTGAAGTTAATCACATATTGATCTACAACAGGCAAGACATTATTTGTTCATAAACTTTTGGAAAAAAAGCCACTTCAAAAGATCTGAACTATCTCAGCTCTTGTAAACGTACATGACAGTGTGACTCTTTGAAACTAAGATAGAAATAAATGAAGGGTGGATCAAGACTTTTATACGGTAATGTGTGTTTCTAATCTAAGTTCTAACCGTGTGAAAAAAGGACCAAATGTTAGTGACTAAATTATATAAACTTCAAGAACAACTCTCTAATATTAATAATACAAAGCACCTTTTATCAGACTTGTGTGGAAATTAAAATCAAATGGCAGTCAAAACAGTCTTATAGATTGTCATAACATCTTGAGTTTAGTTATAATGTTGTTTTTTTCTTTTTGAAAAATAAAGCAGAGTTTTATTAATATTGTAAATAAATTCTACAAAACACTCACAATTTAAAGCTATAAAGAATAAAAGCATTAATGCAACACACTGTCCTAAAAGTGTCTAAACGGTCAGTAAATGATCATGGTTGTTTAGTTCACAAAATAGTTTATGTAATCATGTTTATTCTTGATCTGATTACCAGGAGGGCGTTTTACTGACAGGTTGTGTTTACATCACACCATGAATGCAAAGGTCTCCTACTATTCCTCCGGCACAGTTGTGCACGTTTGTTTACCAGATGTTACCTTTGAATAAATCTGAAAATGGTTAAATGTTGTAGACCGAGTCTTGGTGCTGCTACGTGGCCCTTCTCCAGCCAGCATGCTTCCCATACGTACTTTTGTAATCCAGTTCAGGAGTATTTTCTTCTTCTAAGTCATCGTAGCTGTCGGCGGTCGCTGCTCCAGCTGAAATAATAAATGACAGATCTTTAGAAGAACAAATCTTCACGTTTAATATATCAAACGTCTGTTCTTTGGTCAGAGAACATGTGAACTACATGTAGTTCACACAGACGCTGAACAAGAGAAGGATTCTCCCTCTCTCTCATTCCCACTCATCTTCTGTGAAACATTCCAGAACACAGACACCTGGATTTACAATCAGTCTCCAATAGGAACTCCTGCAAGTTTTTACACACGAAAATTACTCTAAGAGTATAGCTTCTTGAAAAAATATAGATCTGTTTGACCACATTCTTTATTTCAAATTTGGATTTACTGTATAAAAATATTTCTCATATCTTTCTTCTGGTTTGATGTGAACAACATAAGTGAATCTGGTTGTGATACATTATGTTTGCATTATTTTTATTATTATTAAAAACTCAGATTAAAGCATTTGCCACTAGTAGAATGACAGTTCCCACAGATGGACTTTATTAAGTATTGGATTCACTTCTCTTTGCATTTGTAGTTTTATCTCAGTAAAGTTCATAAAAACAAACAAATGTAGTAATTTTTATTCTGTATTTGATACAAAAAATGCAGCTACTTTGTTTAAAATGTAGGGATTTCCCAAAAGTCCGAAAATTTTTATTTGGTCGAAAATTTCTTCAGTGTGACTTCTTGTCTTATATTGGTCATCTTTATTATTATGAATAATTTGTAAGGACTATGTATTTGTAAGGACTTCCATACATATATTTTTATGTCATAATTTTGACTTAGCTATCTCATGAGATAGCTAAGTCAAAATTATGAGATTTTTAAAAAATCTGAGTGGCAAGAATGGGCTTTCATATAAATGTGTGGGTAGCATCCCAAAGTAAACGTACTAAAATCCGCAGTTACATTCTCTTGTGTGTGTTCAATAATAGAAATGGTGACTAATCAGGCTTTTCAGTGATTCTAGACTCATGAACAGACAGATTTGTTGTTTTTGTGATGCATTTTCTGACCAGAGAACAACATAAATGTCTTTTTAAATTGGTCGCGCCAAATCTAGGCCTCAAATGGTAAAGATTTTTGTTGTCTGATGTTTGTAGAAGTGGCTCTGATCTTCAGTGAAGACATGCAAGCAGCTGGTTTGATTAGTGATGGATATGAAGGCAAATGATGACTTTGCTATTGATCACAAATATGGATTAATCAGATGCATTTGTTAGGCAATAGTTTAATTAATAGAAGTTAATATTTTGTTATTCTAACCCAGTCTCTAATTAAAATTCACCATAAAAAGATTAATGTAGACTCTGATGTTTTTCTGCCTGTTGTGAAACATTTCTACTGATCACACATGAGGCAGCATGTTTTCATTATTCCCTTAAAGATGGTGGCTCTTACTCATCACTTTTCTACATTGCTGGCTCATGTATGTTACTTTCCCAATGAACCGTTTCCAGTGCTTCTCAGCAGTTGTGGTCTGGACTCATTATTCCTTTGAAAACTTCTAGAACTGACTCAGTGTTTGAAGCTGAGGATAGAGTTTCCAGTCTGTTGCCACCGCCCCCATCTCAGCCCGATTCCTGCTCCACTTCTTATCCCTCTGCTAAAGTTTGGTCACTTTTTTGGCAAACATAGTAAAGGACACTTCAACACACTTTCTATTTATAAAGATCCTTGGCATTCAACCCCTCCTCTTTACTCTGAAAGGATTAAAGCTGTCTTCAGCATTTCTCTCATAATGAGTTCAGTGTTCTTCACAGTAACTTTCCCCCTAGGCTAATCCCCACCACCACCACCACACACACACACACATCACAGTGCTAGTCACACAGGAAATAAACAATCTCAGCTCATCAGCATGATACTCAAGCTGCAGCAGACTGCAGCAACATGAACCATCATGCATATGGAAAATAAATGAGTACTGTCTTTCTTTACAGTTACTGTCCTGATGCATGAGCTAAATTCCCATGGAGCAGAATACTGACGCTAAGCTGCCTGTTCATGGAGGGATGAGTTAAAACGGCTCTAATGACAAAGACGAGGAAACAACCGACATCCTTTCAATTCATCACCTTCTGAGTTGTGCTTCCCCTCAGGTGGCTTTCAGGTCATGTTGTTATCTTGGAGGATTAAATGAAGGCTCTTTCTGTCCCCACGAGGGGTCTCCCCAGTAATTAACGGGTAGTGATTGGAGCCAAGCTGTAATTAAACTGCCTGGACAGCCAGCAGAGAGGAGCACCTGAGGAGGGAGGCAGCTCAGCCTTAGCTTATTTGAAATTCATCTGAACTGGAGATCGGCCAGGTGCATGTTGGGAGATGTTCAGGAGGGGGCTCTTCATTCCTGAGGCGAGGAGTGGGCTCCATTGGTAAACCAGCACATCTGTGTCTCATATAAATGTTGTTATTGCTGAGATGAAGGTTTTTCTTCCTAGCTGACCTAATGTAGCCTCCATGTGTTCATGTGAAATATCTCATACAGTTAATAACAAATTCAAACATATAAATGAGAAAAAAGGTGATGATTACTAGAGTTGGATAGAAATTTAAAAGATTTATTCTTGGTTTCCTCTGATTTAATTACAATTAATTATATGAGACTTTTAAAATGGACAATTGTATCTTAGAATGTGATGCAAATGACCAAAAACAAGCCCTATCTCAGCTGTTCAATAATCACAAAATAATCAGCTTTAATTTAAAATTTTGAGTAATCCCCAAAGATTTCATGTTGGAACCTCAAGAGTGAAAGCGTGAACCTTCTGTTTGGACTAAAGCAAATCAAGAAGTTATTTTAAGGTGTATAATGTGTGTCTTTTGCACTTTATGCATCAAATCAAGTAATCAGATCACTCTGTAGTCTAAAATTAGTCATAAGTCTTTGCTGTTTTTTTATTATATGGTAATAATAAAGACTTGTTACCATTAGCACAGCTTTCTCAATGACTAATTTTTTCTGCAATGAAGTAATAAAAACACCAACACTTTTGTTATAAAAAGTGTTATCTACTAAACTCACCTGTGAAGAATAGTAAGAAGAGCACAGCCACAGGTCCACTGGTGAGCATGTCAGAAACACAACGATGAACTTTGGAGAAGAAATCTGCAGGATGTTCCAGAATCCTACGCTACATAATAAAGTAAACCCCCAGAGAAAGAATCCGAATATGATGGTTGAAAATAACAAATATTACTGAAAACACCAATTAAATCTATATTCTAAAGCCCACCGAGGACAATAAAAGCTCCAGCAAACGCGTCTGAGTATGACTGAAGCGAGGATCCTCCTGCTGGGTCCTCATCAAAGTTAAAGCCACTGGGTGGCACCAACGGTCTCGTGTGTGTGTGTGTGTGTGTGTGTGTGTGTGTGTGTGTGTGTGTGTGTGTGTGTGTGTGTGTGTGTGTGTGTGTGTGTGTGTGTGTGTGTGTGTGTGTGTGTGTGTGTGTGTCCTCCCACTGAACCCTTTACTCGTGGGTCTAGATTATGATTATTCTGCTTACAAAAAAACATATTAGTTTAATTGACTATTTTTACAGGGTTATTATTTAAATGTATTAACGTGGGCATCCCCAATTACTGTTTACAAAATCACTAAAACCCGATAATTACTTCACCAGCTGGATGTAATTAGATATTTAACGTGTGATTTTCCACTTAGTATTTCCACATAGGAAATAATATAATAATGTAGCTTACCTCCAGGAGTGTAAATGTTAATAAAATTAATTGTTTTTTATTTGATCGTTGATTATCTTCAACGATTGCCACGTTGTAGTCATTTTGTTTAGTCACATCACCTTAGCATCATCAGCAGCACGTAGCCCCAAACCGGAAATAAAACCTTCAAATTAAAAGTAACCTTTTACATGTGTGTCCAATTAAGATATGGTTACATGTAAAATATCGTAGTTAAAATCAAACTTGATAGTTCTAAGCAAAGCACGGTCAAGCAAAAGTCGCATTGTAAATCATACTTGTAAAAGCGTTCTTTGTGTCCGACATCTGGAGCTTTTATCTTGACAGTTGCTGCCGTTCAACGTCACCATTACTGAGCGCTTGACGTAGCGACGCGGGTCCCGGTCGGGGGAGGGGGGCTGTTAATTCCTTCGTGAAAAGTGACGACACTTCCCCTCTCTCCTTTTATTCCAGTGTTTTTCCTTTTCGCGTCGGGATTCAGACAAAACAACTTTTATTTCTCTTCCAGTTCTGAAACTAAACTCCACCATGTCGCCGCCGTCCCGACGACTCCAGACGAAGCCAGTGATTACCTGCCTGAAGACTTTCCTCATCTCCTACAGCCTCATTTTCTGGGTGAGTCTCCTGGCGTGTAATGGGGGACAGCGAGCTAATAAAAGAGCAACAAAAGGACTGGACCGGCTGGACGCGGCCGTTGTGTTAACCACACAAACAGCAAGTCATTCCAGGAGTTTATTAGCGCAGTGGAGTCGCTTGGAGTTGGTTTGTGTAGAAGCTAAAACACTTGTTGAAAATCCGACGAGCCAAGGAGGAGCGAGTAGCTCAATCAGCGGTTCAGAACGCGACCGTTAGCCGCGAACCACTATCCTAAACTAAAGGCTAACTAGTTAAAGTTAGCCAAACTAGAGGCTTAATTAGTTAAAGTTAGTCAATCTGAAGGCTGGTTAATTAAAGTTAACCAAACTAAATACTTTGTAACTAGTTATGCTTAACTAACCTAAGCAAACCAAATTAATGGCTTGATAACAAACAACTTAGCCAAACTTAAAGCTAGATAATTATAACTCCTTTGAAATGCACATGGATTAAATCATTACAGAACTTAATTAACCATAATCAGAAGTTGGTTTAATATAACAAACATTCTAATAAATCAGTTAATCTGCTCCTATTAGAAAAATTACATTCTATTGTAATGTGTTCTAATTATTTGATGTTTGCATTCACTTTTGTTTTTAGATTAAATTAAAAGAGAACCGAACTTTTACGAAGGTGTTCTTTTCCTGATATAACTTTAAACTTACAAAATTGAGAAAGCTTAACTGTACTAATAAAGTCACTGTTTTTACGTAATTAGTTTATTTTTTCTTGGCACTTAAACTGTGAAAAAAATGCATTTCATAATTCATGAAGTCGAGTTGAACATTTAAACTTCGTTTTACGTTCGGTTAGAATCCAGTCTCCAGTCAGCTCCATGAATGTAAGGTATTTAAGTTTTAAATGCAAGCCGCAACCTGAATTCCTCATGTGAGAACTTGGACTGACACGGTAATCCTTTTTGCTTGAATTTCAAATAATTAAACTTCAAAAATCTGCGTTTTTATATAAGTTCAGTGCAGACATGAACTCTCAAAGAGTTGTTTAGAACAAAGGTGAGACCACCATGAAACTTCTGAGTAGACAAACAAAAACTGATTCCAACACAACAACCTAATCGTATCTGTTGAGGCCGGTTCTGTTGCATGTGGGTCAGGACGAGTCGCAGTTGTCTATGGAGCAATAAACTCTAAATATCCAGTGTAGTCTAAAAAGGAAATCTATGGAGATATATCTGTCAGTGGGCTGAAGTTAGTTAGTTATAGTATCATGCATAATTCCTATCTGAACATGCAATTCTAATGTTCTTGTTTTAACTGTAAACAAACCCATTACGTGATAACTGGGTCTGACCACAGCTCCTGTTTGTTTACACAGGTTAATTACATGCACGTCTTTAATGGAAAAACGAACACTTAGTGTTGCGCTGACTGTGCTGATCAAACAACCAGCAGAGGTTAATGCTGCTGCTAGCGCCGCACAGCTCGATGTTTCTATCTAGCTATTAATCGCTGCTGTCTACCCTCACCGTGGCTTGGACACACACACACACACACACACACACGCATACACACACCAAGCCTAGACCTGTTTCCCAGGTGTGTTTTTACTAAAACTGACAGGAAGATAAATAAACCACAGCATATTAAGTATCTTGTGAGTGAGTGACCTTATGCATTTTGTTTCACTACCCATCATGTCTCGGATACAATCGCCCCTCTTTCATCTGCATTGGCTCCCCAGAGCACAGTGTAGATTAGATAAAGGAAATCGATGTGAGAGAGCATATTTTTCTGGATTTAGTGCTTTGTGGTTAAAGAAAAGTATCCTTGATGTCTGTCAGATTTGATTCATGTCACGGTTCCCTCAACAAATTAACCACGGTCGCTGTTTGTACAAATAATTTCATTAGGATGAAAGAGGCCCATTAATGTTGAGTTTAAATTAGCAGAGCTACAGTTGAATCTCTCTGTAAGCTTTGATTAATATCCCAAATGTGTATTGTTTAAGTTGATGTTAAACACACTGAAACTGTGAAATAATCTTTCAGTATATGACCCCTCCCGTGGGGAGCTTGAGCTGCAGACACAGCCACTCTCAGGAACTATTTGGTGGGTTTAACCCTCCTAATTCAACCCCTTAATGTTGAGTGTGAAGCGGGGAGGCATTGGGTCCCATTTTTAAATTCTTTCACCTGTGGGTTTTAACCCACGATCTCCCAGTCCCAGGGTGGACATTCTAACACTAGGCCACTAAGCTGGTTTGTAAATGGAGAAAACTTCAAATTAAAAAAAAAGCAGTTGTTTGTAAATAAATGTGGACACGGTTGCACTGACCAGGCGGTTTTGAGGGTGTTCATTAACTCTCTCACCTCCCTATCATCTTCAGTTCACCGGCGTGATCCTGCTGGCTGTGGGGGTGTGGGGGAAGGTCAGCCTGGAGGCCTACTTCTCCCTGGTTTCTGGAGAGAGCACCAATGCACCATATGTTCTCATCGGGACCGGAGCCATCATTGTTATTTTTGGACTGTTTGGCTGCTTTGCTACGTGTCGTGGAAGCCCATGGATGCTCAAACTGGTCCGTGAGGGAGTCGCTGCTAATGTCCTGCTCCACACGCGTCCTGGTCTAATTTGTGTCTTTGTTGTTCTGTTGTTAGTATGCCATGTTCCTGACCCTGGTGTTCCTGGCTGAGCTGGTGGCTGGAGTCTCAGGCTTCATCTTCAGGCATGAGGTGAGGAACTGAACCATTGACTTTTGCTTGTAAAATTAGTCGTGTCAGCTCATGAGCATCTAATTTACATGTTCTGAATTCACCAGATCAAAGCCAAAATTGGGACTGCTTATAGAGGCGCAGTGGATACTTACAATCAAACCGACAGCAAAAGCAACGCAGTCGACACCCTCCAGAGAACGGTATGGTGACGTTACTACAGATTATTTATTAGGTGAAACATCTACTGCCTCCTCTTGAATCTTAAGAAGAGAACAATTATCTTGCATAAATGTCTGTGTTTTCTAGTTGCACTGCTGTGGAATAAACAATTACACTGACTGGGGTAAGACTGACTACTTCAAAGAGAATGGCATCCCTGCTAGCTGTTGTAAAGACAAATGTTCCCCGGAGTCCCTGAAAGACCTCGACAAGGCTGAAAGTGAGGTGTTCACTACGGTGAGTGGGACAACTTACCTGAGGGTGTAGTCCATTTTATTTTTAGGAAACTTTTAAACATTTCTAACATGTATTTATCTTTTTCTGTGCAGGGCTGCTTTTCACTGGTCACCAATGTGTTTGAAGGTAACCTGGGAGTCATTGCAGGGGTCTCATTTGGGATTGCATTCTTCCAGGTGTGTAATCAGCCTAAAATTTGCCTGAAGTTGATGTCTAAGAAAAACTTTACTCACACACATTATTTGGTAGCAATAGAGCTTTGTATTAAAATAGAACAGTTGAATTGACCTCATGGATACGTAACACAAATGCACAACAAAAGCTCATTTTGAATGGATGATTACATCTTTACCATTATTTACTTTCTTTTATGAACACGTGATCGTTACAACCAGCACTGTTTGCGTTTTTGCACAAGCCTCTCCTTCTCTGTGTTTAGCTTCATGTGCTAATAACATCGTGAAGTTGAGTGTGTCGCATTGAAAACGGTTCTGTCAGAAACATGCTCTGTTTTCGGTCTGTCATTGATCGACTGACCGTTTTACAGCTTCTATTCTCTGGTAGATGGTCAACATGCTCAAGCTGCCCCCTTCCATCAGTCCTGAGTTCTTTTAGCTGTTCCTAAAGGAAAACGCTTGCAGAATTTTAGGATGCCTGCAGCCTCTGAAGTGTTTACTCATGAATAACAGCTGTTTCTTTTTTTGAGTGTAACACATTAGCATAATGTTACCCGATAATGATCCGACTGTCCAAAGTCTGTTTGTTGCTTACTAATAGGTGAACACTAAATCATCATTTCACTAATAAACCACTTATTTTTGTTTTTACTGTGGCTGCTGAAGAGTCCTAGCCTGGCATGCTATCCTTTGTGTGAATATATAGTCTGACCATGACCCATAGACAGAGCTCAGACGTTGGACGGGATCTATGGTTATCTTTCAGACTGTCTCTGCATGCTAATGGACAACAAACAATGTGACCTGCTGTGGCTGTCTGTCAACGGGGCAGTCTACCATATGCTGTCGAAGAAGACGCAAATACATCCTTTTTCAAAATAAGACTAAAGTACCTCTATCTGCTCTTGACTCAATGAAAAACCCAAATCTAAATAGTCCAAAGTTGATACCAACGCTGTTTCAAACAAGTCACCTCATCTTGGTTTAAAGCCGGGCAGACACTGTGCGACTTTTTCACTCGCAGCGTTCAGCTTCAGCTCAAACTGTACGACTTCCTCGCAGAGCAGATCTCACGAGTCATGCGCTCACACTGCACGACCCAGTTCTCGCATGCGACCTGACTGCTCACACTGTACGTCTGGTAACAACACGTCGGCCCTAAAAATGTGCTAAAAATAGCAGTTTTTACTCAACACGTCAGACTTTTTTGTCTTGCCTGTTGTCCTTCGGGAGTGCTGCAGGAGGACACACAGGGATTATGGGGGGTTGGATGAGGAAAACGAAATAAAGAAAGTGAATCTGTGTTTTGTGATCAGTTTAATTTGACATGAACACGACAAACACGCTTTCTTGACAATCTTTGTGAGTAAAAAAAACGTGTAGAAACAAAAACTAACAGCGTGTGTTATTAGGGAAATGGCGAGCGAGCGGCGTTGATGCAGGATTGCGCGCGCATGCGCCGTGAGCGGTTCTGATACTTTTTTGGATCGTAGCTGCTCGCAGCGCCGCTTCAACAGTGCGATACCCTCACGAGGGACGAGCGAAATATTAAACACACCAGAAGTCCCTGCGACCTCACGACTGCTGATCGGCGGCTGGTCACGTGGTGTTAATCGCCTCTCGTAACCCCCTGTACACTACACGACCGCTCGGCGCAAAACTCGCCCCGATGTCGTGGCTTCTCGCACGACTGGAAAATCGGCTCAAAAAAGTGAAAAAGTCGCACAGTGTACGCCCGGCTTTACTCAATCGCCTAATCCCGTTCACCAAACCAATGGAGCGCTGCGATTGGCAAGACATGAGACTAGTCTGGCCTGCTGAAGCTCTAATGAAGCTTGGCGAGACCAATCTGCAGAGCAAAATCTTTTTGCTTCTTCTACGGTCTGTCTAGATTTCTAGGCTAGAAGAGTCCAGAACTAGGAAGAGATTAGTGACCAATGGAGCCATTAAAGACTGGCCATTGTGAAGATTTAATACATGAAATGAACTAAAATGATTTATGTTACAAACATGAAGAAATAATCATGGTATCATTTTTTTTAGCCTGGCCTGAGACACTCTTCCTCTGTTCTACACAGAGAACTAGTCTGGTTACTCACAGGCTGAGGGGCGGGAGTATAGCCAGCTCAAAAATAACCAATCAGAACAAAGACAGAAAAACCGACTGTACCGCGCAACACTGTAGTAGTTTATTTTAGCTGTAGTCAAAAATGGCATCTGGCGATGGCGCAAAGATCTTTTTTTAGAAAGGCTTTTAGCTCTTCTACTTGTTGTGGTTTTAAAGACGTCCAAGCCATTTAGAACAGAGGAAAGAGCCGCAGCGAACTCCACTTCAGTCGCCGTGTGTGTGTGTGTGTGTGTGTGTGTGTGTGTGTGCGTGTGTGCGTGCGCGCGTGGCACAATTGGCTTGGTTAGAATTCTCAAGGGGCTAGAGTTACTTTAATAGGAGAGTTCCCAGTCCCAGTGCTCTGGTCAGGCTACTCATTTTTATGGATCCTGGATATTAAAAATACTTCTGTATTTCCAGAGTTTGCCAGTAGGCTGTGGGTGAACTTTAGATCATCACTTCAACAATGGTTGCTTCTGAAAGGTTCAGCTTTAGCATCACCAAAAGCCTTTTCTCAGTATAAAACGTATTTCTGCTTTTTCCCTCCTGAGAAACATCAACTAAAGTGATTGGTATTTTGATCATTTGGGATAAATTGTAATCGGGTTTAAAAAAAAAACGCACAAACACCTGATGCTGATTGTTACCCAGTCTCATCAATAACATGACCCAGTACTGAACTGGTGTTAGGTGAATTAAACCATGACAACACTATCATCACTGTCAGGACGTTTTACAGCAGGTTAAAGTTCAACTTTGTTATGCAGACCAAACAGATCGTGGAGCGTGGAAAAATACCTTCTTTTTTTTTTCTATTTGTATGAGCTGACATTTAAATGCTTTGTAACTTATCATTTTAAACTGTTTTTTGTAATTGTCAAACTGTGTCCATGTTTTTTCCATATTAATTGAAACTGATTTCCCTCAGGTGATTGGGATTTTCCTGGCCTGCTGCTTGTCTCGCTACATAACCAACAACCAGTATGAGATGGTCTAACAGGTAGTGGCGTTATTGGTTTAACTTCTCCGTTAGGGATTCTGTAGATTCACATTCAAATGCAGATGAGCTGCTTTTGTCACAACCCTTGTGATCTCTGTTTGCAGGTGACTGATGGACAACTCCTGGTGCAAATTAATTTGGGATTTTAACGTTATATATTTGTTAGCTGATATCATTTTTATGGAGCGAACACTCCCGTGACTTCTACTTTTATTCATTCTCACTAGTGGAGTAGAAAAGGGTAATGTTCTAGAGGTTTAAAGGGATGACATCTGCAGAGCTGTTTGACAAAAGAAAAGGGACCCAGTTGAGATTTGTTTCTCAACAGATTAAAATAAAAATTCCATAAGTATTGCTGCCATCATGTAGTCGCCACATTTCTATTTAAATTGTTGATACTTTTGTATTTCATGTCTTTGAGCTGCCTTATTTTGAACTTGGAGAATAAATCCTGTAGAAGTTCTTTAAAAATACTTGTCTTTACATGTGAAACAGCCAGAGCTGACCTAGAGCTCAGCACCTTGGAATCAAGTTAGCGATGGATGAATTATTGTAGAAAAATGAACCTTAGTGACCATGTGGGCCAGTGCTGTTGAAGGCCTGCAGTCATGTGTGCCAAATCCAGCAGCTCTGCCAACTTTGTATTACTGTCTTCAGTGTTTGTGTGTTTTCTTTGTGGATGCATGTATAAAAAAATAAAGATGAAATCCTGTATCTTCAAAAACTAGTAGTCTATTGTTTAGAGTTCGCCAGGTTACTACTAAATGTCTAATTAACATGAATGAATGATCAATTTATTCAGTCAGTCATCTTAAGATAATGTGTACAATAACATGTCATACAAATAGATACAAATACCATTTCTCACTAACATACATTCATTTGTATATGGTGTCTATTTGGTATCTCATGACTGAATGGGTTTAGGCAGAAGCAATAGCTTATATAATTGCCTAACCTACTTACAAAATATTTCAATTTCCCGCAATGAACCAACAACCCAAATGAAAATAAAACACAAATCCATCCATCAACATCAAATTAATACTCTTCAAAAATATTTTTACTGATAAGTTTTTTAAGAACTGAAAGAGAAGTTGCTCATTTTAATTCTATTTTAGCCTCATTCCAAAATTTTACTCCCATTACAGAGAGACATCTACTTTTCATGCCCTTTTTGGCTTTTTGTAGAACAAACATACATACACCTCTTGAATCATATTTACTTTACCTCTTTGCAAAAAACATTAGTATATTTTCTGGCAGAGCTGTTAATTTTACTCTAAACATAAATTGCATTATTTTATAATATAGATCTTCTAATTTCATAATCTGTGATTTTGAAAACAACGGGTCAGTATGAGCATAATTGCTCTTGTTTATAACTCGAATAGATTTATTTTGTATAGATTTTATTTCATGTATACATGTTTTAAAAGTTGAACCCCATATTTCTATACAATATGCCATGTATGGTTGTATTAGTGAACAGTATATTAGACGTAAGGCCTTATGGTTTAGTATGTCCTTCAGCTTATATAATAGACCCAAAGATTTGGCAATTTTTCCTTTTATATAATTTAAATGATGCTTCCAGGATAAGTTAGAGTAAATCACAACACCAAGAAATTTTATTTCAGACACTCTTTCAATTTCAGTATCTGAAATTGTTAATTTCCCATACTCCTGGAGCGTCCCCCACAGGGTGCCCCTGGGGACACGGTCATAAGCCTTCTCCAAATCCACAAAGCACATGTGGATTGGTTGGGCAAACTCCCATGCCCCCTCCATCACCCTTGCAAGGGTATAGAGCTGGTCCACAGTTCCACGGCCAGCACGAAAACCACATTGCTCCTCCTCTATCTGAGATTCAACTATCGATCGGACCCTCTTCTCCAGTACCTTGGAGTAGACCTTTCCAGGGAGGCTGAGGAGTGTGATCCCCCTATAGTTGGAACACACCCTCAGGTCACCCTTCTTAAAGATGGGGACCACCACCCCGGTCTGCCACTCCCTAGGAACTGCCCCCGATGACCACGCAATGTTGTAGAGACGTGTCAACCATGACAGCCCTACAACATCCATAGCCTTGAGATACCCAGGACGAACCTCATCCGCCCCCGGGGCTCCGCCGCTGTGTAGTTGTTTGACTACCTCAGCAACTTCTGCCCCTGAGATCGGACAGTCCATCCCCAGGCCTCCCAGCTCTGGTTCCTCCTCGGAATGCGCATTGGTGGGATTGAGGAGCTCCTCAAAGTATTCCTTCCACCGTCCGACTATAGCCTCAGTTGACGTCAGCAGCTCCCCATCCCCACTGTAAACAGTGTGAGCGAGTTGCTGCCTTCCTCTCCTGAGGCGCCGGACAGTTTGCCAGAACCTCTTTGGAGCCGATCGATAGTCTTTCTCCATGGCCTCACCAAACTCCTCCCACGCCCGAGATTTTGCCTCGGCAACTGCCACTGCTGCACCCCGCTTGGCTATCCGGTACCTGTCTGCTGCCTCCGGAGACCCACAGACCAGCCACGCCCTGTAGGCCTCCTTCTTTAGCCTGACGGCTCCCCGAACCTCTGGTGTCCACCAGCGGGTACGGGGGTTGCCACCACGACTGGCACCGGCCACCTTACGACCACAGCTAGCAACAGCCGCCTCGACAATCGCAGAGTGGAACAAGGCCCACTCGGACTCAATGTCCCCCACTGCTCTCGGGACGTGGTCAAAGCTCTGCCGGAGGTGGGAGTTGAAGACCGTCTTGACAGGTTCTTCTGCCAGGCGTTCCCAGCAGACCCTCACTATGCGTTTGGGTCTGCCAGGTCTACGCGGCATGTTCCCTTGCCATCTGATCCAACTCACCACCAGGTGGTGATCAGTTGACAGCTCCGCCCCTCTCTTCACTCGGGTGTCCAAAACATATGGCCGCAGGTCAGATGATACGACTACAAAATCTATCATCGACCTGTGACCTAGGCTGCCCTGGTACCAAGTGTACCGGTGGGCATCCTTATGTTCGAACATGGTGTTCGTTATGGCCAAACTGCGGCTTGCACAGAAGTCCAATAACAAAACACCGCTCGAGTTCAGATTAGGTGGGCCGTTCCTCCCAATCACACCCCTCCAGGTCAAGCTGTCATTGCCCACGTGAGCATTGAAGTCCCCCAGCAGGGGCACCCTGTGGGGGACACTCCAGGAGTATGGGGTGGGTGGTTTTCTGTTAAGGGCCATTCAGTCCCTTTACCAGAGGAGCGTGAGTTTGGTCCGCATAGCCGGTAGTAAGTCGGACCTGTTCCCAATGAGGGTTGGACTCCGCCAGGGCTGCCCTTTGTCACCGGTTCTGTTCATCACTTTTATGGACAGAATTTCTAGACGCAGCCGTGGTGTGGAGTGTGTCGAGTTTGGTGGCAGGAGAATCTCGTCTCTGCTTTTTGCGGATGATGTGGTCCTCCTAGCTTCATCCAGCTCTGACCTTCAGCTCTTGCTGGGTAGGTTCGCGGCCGAATGTGAAGCGGCTGGGATGAGGATCAGCACCTCCAAATCTGAGACCATGGTTCTCGACCGGAAAACGGTGGCTTGCCACCTCCGGGTCGGGGGAGAGGTCCTACCTCAAGTGGAGGAGTTTAAGTATCTCGGGGTCTTGTTCACGAGTGAGGGTAGGAGGGATCGGGAGATCGACAGGCGGATTGGTTCGGCGTCTGCAGTGATGCGGACGCTGAGCCGATCTGTCGTGGGGAAGAGGGAGCTGAGCCAGAAAGCCAGGCTCTCGATTTACCGGTCGATCTACGTCCCAATCCTCACCTATGGTCATGAGCTTTGGGTAATGACCGAAAGAACGAGATCGCGGATACAAGCGGCCGAAATGAGTTTCCTCCGTAGGGTGGCCGGGCTCAGCCTTAGAGATAGGGTGAGGAGCTCGGACATTCGGGAGGGACTCGGAGTAGAACCGCTGCTCCTCCGGATCGAAAGGAGCCAGTTGAGGTGGTTTGGGCATCTGGTCAGGATGCCTCCTGGACGCCTCCCCGGGGAGGTGTTTCGGGCATGTCCTGCCGGCAGAAGGCCCCCGGGTCGACCCAGGACACGTTGGAGAGGTTACATCTCCAATCTGGTCCGGGAACGCCTTGGGGTCCTGCCGGAGGAGCTGGTGGACAAGGCCGGGGAGAGGACGGCCTGGAGCTCCCTAGTTGGGATGCTGCCCCCGCGACCCGGACCCGGATAAGCGGAGGAAGACGACGACGACGAAATTGTTAATTTAAAGTCCCCATTTTTTACCTTCTTATTTCCAAAAATCATAAATTTAGTCTTTTTTATATTCAGTGATAGTTTATTTACATCAAACCAAGATTTGAGGATATTTAACTCTTTTTCGGCCTTCTTTAAAAGTTCTTTTATATCTTTACCTGAACAAACTAAATTTGTATCATTTGCAAACATTATAAATTTGAAAAAATCTGTCACGTTACATATGTCATTTATGTATAAAGTAAATAATACAGGACCTATTACTGACCCTTGTGGAACTCCACAACTTATTTCTCTAAATCCAGATTTTATATCTTTAATTTTTACATACTGTTGTCTGTCTTTTAAGTAACTCTCTATCCAGGACTTCGCTGTACCTCGTAGGCCATAATTTTCCATCTTTTTCAATAATCTCCTGTGGTCAATGGTGTCAAAAGCCTTCTTTAAATCAACAAATATGCTAATAGAGAGTTCTTCGCTTTCACTTGCTTGGGCTATTTCTTCTACCATCTGCATTATCGCATAGGTAGTGGTTCTGTTTTTTCTAAATCCATATTGACTGTCACTTAATAATTTATTTTTAGTAATATATACGTCTAGCTGGTTCACAAATAATTTCTCGAGTATTTTTGAAAATTGTGGAATAATTGCTATTGGCCTATAGTTTTCCATAGAATGCTTATTTCCAGTTTTAAATATTGGGATCACTTTTGTTATCTTCATAGTTTTAGGAAAATGACCTTTATGTAGTGATAGGTTATTTATATATATATATATATATATATATATATGTGTGTGTGTGTGTGTGTGTGTGTGTCAATGGTCTCACAATACAGAATATAACTTCTTTTATAATTCCCATGTCAATTTCATTTATATCTGTGGATTTTTTGTTTTTAAATTTTCTTACTGTATTTACAACATCAGTCTCACTTATCTCATGTAGAAACATTGAGTTGATATTACTATTTATCAGATTATTAAATGTATCTGCATCAGGTGGGACTGCTATCTCATTTGCTAATGAGGGGCAGATGCTTACAAAATATTACAAGTTACAAGATAAGATAAGATAAGAACAACTTTATTTATCCCGAGCATAGACTGTACATACCCGAGGATCCCGAGGGAAATTGTTGTGTCATGTACATGCTCAAAGCAGTAGGAGAGACAAAGGAACAGGTGAAATAGATATAAAATATACGATATATACAGTAAAAATAGTGTACAGTAGTATACAATAGGATAGTGCAAGAGAAACACTCGGATAACTCAACAAATGAAATACATGACTGTATCCCTAATTACACATATGAAGTAAAACTGCAGTTTTATTTTTTTTTAGTATCCTAAACCATGAGCCATGTGATCTCATTAAAACTTATTTAGTTTTAATTTTCAGACAAATTAGCAGAGATGTTTGATAAAGGCTTAGTATTCGTGACCTGCAGACACAATGCAAGTGAAGATGTTCTATTTACACAACATCCCTCAGTGCTTAGCAGAAATCCCAGTTGACTAAACAATCCTCAACCGTCACCAATTACTGAACATGTGCAGAGGCTTCAGGTGTCAGGAAACCTGCTCTAGTTTTCCCTGCATGTGTGCACAGCTTACACTTCTAGCTGTGTAGGCATTGCCATTTGGTTGTCATAACATTCATGTTCACCTTAACTTGTCAAAGTGTCTGATGTTTATAATTTATTGCTCATGCCTGAAGATAACAAATACAATCCTGTTGAAATTCTCACTTTTTGCATCAAAGGGTTAAATAAACATCTCAACTTCTCTGACACAGTTGTGGATTTATTTTAGAGTGACATGATTATGAGGAATGGTAATTAAAATAGCACTACCTTTTAAGCGTCTGTTAGAAAAGAGAAATAAGTACGGCTGTAAGCTAGTGATTAGAGGACCATTGTAAACAAGTCAATGCATTAAAGTAACTTAGCCCACCTAAATAACCTGGTACAGAACCAAAACAGCCACACCTTATTAATTAGTGCAATTGGGAACACCTGAGATCTGCATGGCACGCGCACGTCTTTGCCGCTGACTTCCATAAAGCAGGAAGACGGGTAGGGCGGTGTGCTGGCTCTGTGGCGGAGAACTCAGTCTAAACCCGGTAAGACCTCAGATTTTCTCTAGAATATCTCAGTTTAACTTGTTTTTATGAGTGAAGAAAAAAGATTTTTAAACTCAAGGGAAGTGGCTTAGTTCTACCAGCAGGTGGCAGAGCTGAGCAACAATCTGCGACAATGAGGGGAAATGAAACTTTTGAACATCTTAGGCCCAACTGTTACTTTAACATCGGCTGGTTAGTAACCTACACACCCCACCAACCTGACGAGCCACTGTTTTTAACAAGCTTCCTTCAGGCTGTAACGGGTTTCTGTAACCAGGCAGCGGCTGATGATGAAAGACTGAACAAATAAGCCTGACTGGCCCCTCTGAGAGGGTTTTGATTGGTCGGTTATGGATCAGATGCTGCAGAGGTCCACCCACAGCCCTCACGCAGCCCAATTGGCTCAATAGAGGGAGACCAGGAGGGCGGACTTTAATGTTCCGGCTTTTTTTCCTGGTATAAAAGCGGGGTTAAGCTCGTAGACAGCCGAGGAAATTCTCACTTTCCTTCCCGGCAGTTGCAGTCCGGTTACTGACAAGATCTTCCAGCCAACAGGTGAACTAGAAGGCCTCCTCAGGTTCTCTGGTGCTACAGGTCAGTCTGCGTCATCTAATTCTGGGTTCTACATTATTAGGGATCAGGTGCAGGAAGTCAAGGTCATAGTTATGCGAGTTGGTGTTTTTGTTTCCACTTAATTCAATGCAGTAAAATCTTTTATTTTAATGTATTCCTGAAGTAAATGAAATGTAGGTTTAGTTTTTGTATTGGGAGTGTGCTTGATGGGCATTCAGCCTGTTCTCTGGTGAACTTGCAGATTATTCTGATCTGACTGTTCATTTGTTCATTTTTTCCTACTTAATCAGTCTCCTGCAGCTTTCCTGCACCCTCATGTTTCAATACTTCCTCCTGCAGATCAGTCAACCTCAGCAGCTCAGCCTTAAACCCCACCACTATCTGCCTCCTCAGCACTGTAACCAAGCCAACCTAAAGCCTCCAAGATGATGCAGATCAGCAGCAACTCGGCCAGCAACAAGCACTCGCTCATTAACGTCATGCACCGCTTCATAGCAGCAGCCAACAACATGGACGAGACCATCATGGTGCCCAGCCTGCTGCGAGACTTGCCCCTGGAGGAGCAGGCAGCCAACCAGGTGGAGACCAACAATAACGAGCCATCGTGTGCCAACAAGCAGAGGGACATGTATGAGCACTATCTGCTCCTCAAGTCCATAAAGAACGACATGGAGTGGGGTCTACTGAAAAAGGAGATGAGCAGCGGCGCCAGCTTCCTGGAGATGGCTGTGAAGCAGGAGCAGCAGCAGCAGCCTTTGATGGCGGCAGAGGACAACACCGACCTGGAGCACCAGTTTCATTATCACCTCAGAGGACTGTTTGGAGTTTTGTCCAAGCTCACCATGCGGGCGGACCACCTCACCAACAGATACAAGAGGGAGATCGGAGGTGGAAACTTCATGAGATAGACATCTACCCCTCTCTATCTCTGAACTGATGTTTTTGTAATGTGGACAGTGAACTGATCGGGGCATCCATCCTCTCACTCCTTTACTAGCACTCCTCCCCCTCACCTGAAACCAGTGATGCCTGAACCCGTCGTCCTGACTGTCTGCTTGGTGGAGGTTTGCTGACCTTCAGCCAGACTAAAGCGCAGCTCTGCAGAACTCTTCACATGGTCCTTTCACACTTAAGCTGTCAGAGTTGTTTGAATAAAAGGTTCGTCCGCAGGAGATGTTGAATGCTGGTTATTCTGCCCCTCCTTTTTAAATCGTGATTTCCCAAACGCAGCCCTGATACCTGCTGAATTCCTCACTTGTTGTGCCTTGGCATATTTTATTTTTCTACACCTGCATGCCCTGATCAGCTCACAGTGGCTCATCTGTAAATTTTAAAAACGGATTTTATATTTTAATGCAACTGAAATAAAACTATAAATAACAATTCTGTCCTGGTCTCTGCTGCAATAGGAAAGATGCCAAAGTAGTGAAGCCTCCAGAAAATCTGCTGTAAATGGATCTAAATGAGCTTAATGTGCAGAAATGTAGCACATTTTTAAAACAAAACCACTTTTGTAATAAAAGTGTTTTTGAGGTCATGGCTCTTTACACAAATGTAGCTTTAATGACAGTTGATCCATGCAAATGAGGTGATGAAGCATGGATGTCTGTGCTGCACTGACAAGTTCTTCACTACAGTGCACAATTGGGTCATCTTGGTTAAGCTCCCATACCGACCTACAAAGGGAGCTAATTTTTTTTTTTTTACTATTATCTGAAAGGGTTAACGAGCTCCAAAATCCACATCTTTGATTCCCTCCTGACACAAAGTTCACTAATCTCAAAGGCTGGAGCTGGTAGCTGCACAATTGTTATAAAATAGCCGTAAAGTCTATCACAGCTAAGATGATAAATCTTAGCATCACACTAGCTCAGAACACAATCTTTACATCCTCAGCAGTCTGGAGAGACTTAAATGACATCAATACAGTTTCTGCAGCTCTCAAATGGAGCCTTAATTTGATGTGTGCTATCCATCAAAGGGGGAAGCCCTCCCCTTAGCAACTGCGCCACCAATCCCATCGTTAAAGCTCCCCTCCTCTGCTGCTCTCAGACACAGCTGTGACTATAGGCTGTGGTGAGGTGAAGGGCACTGGCAAAGAGGCACAGTAGAACAAACGGGTGTTGCTGCAGCGGGCACTCGGGAGTCAGAGAGTTCACACGGGGGATGGACCAAGAGGCTGCAGCTCTGCTCTGTTCCTACTCACAAAGGACCACTGAGATGGCTTCAAACAAGATGGCTGCACTGGTCAGTGTGCCTCAGCCCACTCAGATTAACTGGGTCAGCTAAACTGCTGACAGCTGGCCCCTCCGGGAGTCTCAGCAGAGATTTTGTTTACAACACTGAGCTGATTTAAATCCTCAAAATACAGCAGACAAATTAAACTCAGCATTTTTCATCAAGCCCCTGGCTGCAGAGGCTGAGCAAACGTTCAGAAGGAAAAGGCCTGACTTATCACCAAACAGCAAAAATTCACCTGTGGTGAAGCTGAGTTGCTAAAAAGCAAAATATTTCCCAAAGCTTAAGAGTTAAAATCTGATAAAACTGTGTTGAAATATAGACGTGGGTAAAGATTCACCCAGAAGACAGGAATACCAGGTCATCTCACGCTGAGAGATGATGGAGGTCTAGCTGTTTTTGTCCAGTCTTTGAAATAACGTTATTTAAAACTGTTTTTATGTATAAGCTAAGATCCGTTGGCCAAGGAGGCCCTCTTGAACTCCAGACGTGCATCAAGATGTGCATCTAATGATCGCTCTAGAAGGTTCAGTGGTTCGTTAGAGACCGTTGACTCACAGATTTTTGGCAAAATTGTAAACAAAAATAGTTCTAGGATGAGTTATAGATCTGAGTGCATGTGGAGACAGTTCCCAGCTACTGACACACCAACCTTTGGATCAGTTTCTGTAAAACCTGCAGTCTTATTTGTGGATGTTTTTGTGTTTACTGATATTGATCAGCTGTGGCAGCTAGCTTTAATTAGACTGACTTCAAAAGGTAATTGTAGATGTAGGTCTACACACACACACACACATACACACACACACACACACCTCTGAAGAAAGTTGCTACATACTGAGCTGCAGAAAGCCATACATGATATTGGGCAATTTGGTACAGCACAGTTGCCATGGCAACATCACGCCCTAACTTAGCAGAAACAAGACAACCTACGTTTAAACAGCAACTCTATGGCTCCAAACCTTCCTCCTTTAAGCTGTTGTGTTTGGGTTATAGAGCAAAGTGTGCTCTGGACAGTTGCTATGGAAACAATGGCAGCCTACCACGGACAGAAGGGGTACTTCCCAAAAGGTCAAAACCTCATTTTTAACAACACAAAATTGTCTTCTTCTCTGGTTTTAGGCAAATAAAAAATATAAATAACACCTACGTTTGCTACACCTAAATACTTCAACAATAAAACGCCTGTTTCAAGAAACAAGTGGTTACATCTAAACTAATGCCACAGGGCTTGAACCACGACTGATATTCTGTAAGACAGACAGACAGCTTGCACATCCAGGACACACTTGGGTCTTGAGAAACCTGAAAGCAAATGGCTGCAACCTCTGGTTTCACAATGCAGTGAGGCTTGAAAGTTCACCGGGTTTTTGAGAAACTCAACATCTTTAATCTCTAAAAAGCCGAATTTCAGATGTGTGATCATTCAGGAGCAGCTCAGGTGTTGCAAGTGTTCAGGCTGATGTCACAGACAGATTCTGGGACACACGTGGAAGTTGTCTTTAAGTTTCACCCCAACCACCCACCCACCCGTCCGCCTGCCTGCCCGCCAGGCCAGCACGAGGCTGTGTGACTACAAACTTGGCAGGCAAAGGTTCTCTTCCCTGGCATGGCCCTCCTGTTGCTCAACGGCAGTAAAACTCCAGACAACCAGACAGGGCAAAGATTAGGTCGTGTCAACCGTGCACAGGTTAGAGCTGGAAAGAGTCATCTAAAGGTCAACAACTTTAAATAAATATGCTCCTATCTGTAATTACAGCTCCAGCATTTATCTCACTGTCACGCCTGCGTTTGCTCTTATCACGTGGACACCCCTGGTCCAAAACCTTTCTCTGGTAGCTGATTCCTGAGCGAACAGCTGGTGGTACTCACTCTTCTGCTGGCTCTGGAGGCACCTTTCAGTTGGCTGAGAAACATGATAAAAATAATAGAAACTGTAAGACAGTGGCTCACATTGAGCTGAAATTGCACTTTACACTTACAGATAGACCTCGACTTGAGAAGAAATATGATTATAATTTATTTCAATCATTAAAAAAACAACAATTGTCAACGAAAGCCATTTTAGACACGGTTAAATGAAAATAGGCTAATTAAACTGTAAAAGTAATGTATTCACCAGGCTACACATCACCAGAATGCAATGAAATGTCAGCAGCTTTTTATGGTTGGTTGCTCTATCAACTAGAGCAGTTTAATCTCTAACTAAGCATCATATTTCACTATGGATAATAGTACTCATAATATATCAGAAAGACTAAAATATGAAGGGGTCTCATGAGACTTTTTATGGTTTCTGTTTGTGTTTTGTTTGGTTATTTTCTTTATTTTTATTTGCTCTATTTTTTGTGTCTGAGCCAGTTTTACTTTCGGGTCCCTACACCTCAGGTTTCAGCTTCCTAATCAACAAACCTGTCCAGTCCACTTAGATCATCTTACATGTACTGTTCTTATTTTGGTTTGTTTATGTTCTGTTTTCTGAAAAAGTGAGAGCTCCACGCCAGACTTCTGCTTTTGATCTTCATTATTTCATGGTGTAGTGTTTGCCTTTAGAAAATCTGATATTCAAACTACTAATGAAAACATTTCATTAGCAGCAGTCATGAGAACAAACCATGATCAGTCCTCTTCCCTGCTTACCAGTTTCAGAGGTGCGTGGATCTAGTAGAGGTTTAAAGTGGATGACACGTCTCGGCTAAATGCTGACATCACAGATTTGATGGTTGGGACTGAAACATGTTTGGTTGTGTAATGTGGAGCTGTGGGCAGTAGAGCCACTGTTGCTGGGTGTAGCTGAGACATGTGAAGCCCACATAGCTGTGCACAGCTCAGATACAATGTGCTTCCTTGTGCTGCAGACATAACGTGAACCGGCACTGATGTCATTAGTGTTCGACTTCTCTGACAAGAGCGGCACAGCAGCAGGACACATTCACGGAGACAATAGCTGCTCTTTAGAAGGCTGAATGGAAACATCCTTCCTCCAGACTCACATGAAATAATAACAAAGTCTCATCAACAAAATCCTTCAAGGAGGGAAGTGCCGTCACATTCTCTTCGTTTTAAGGCTTTACAGGCTAGAAATAAATCAAATCTCACCTCATATACACAAAAACACGCAACCGATTCTACCGTGACACTGTTTGTTGAAAAACAAAACAAAATGGAAGAGCTGGGTGTGAAACCCCAAGGCCACCCCATGACCCAGCAGCTTGTAGAACCTTATTTAGCTGTTTTTCATCCAACTTTAGTGTTGTCATTGTCATAAAGGAATTTTGGTTGGAATTGAGGTTTGTGGATATTTGTTTCTGCATAGCTCGCTGACCACAGCAATTCAGTCAGGTTAAGGTCAGGGCTTTGGGACCACAGCAACACCTTGATTCTTTTATTTTATAGTGGTTCTGTTGCTGGGATCGTTGTTCTGTGTCACGACCCCGGTTTGTGCAACTTTTAGCTGTCAGACAGATGGGCTGACTTTTGACTAAGTGATACTTTGGTGTCCATGGTCCAGTAGATAACTAGAAGGTCCCCAAACCATCAGCTCTCCGCCACCACGCCGATAGCTGGTTGACCCGTTTGTGATTTCTCCAACCCCTTTGCATTGTGGGTAAGCACTCATGATATTTAGAGGTGAGTAAGCATATCTACGTTGACCCAATCTGTCCACAGGACAAAGTTCCAGAAGTCCTGGGATTCCCTCCGATTTACAAACCTACGTTAAGTTCTTTTTACAGAGAGGTTTTTGTTTTCTTGCAACTCCTCCAAGCAACCAATCACTGCATTTGTTTTTCAAACGTTATTGCCACCCAACCCTCTATCAGGCCTGTGGAGTCTGAGATGCAGTTATCATATCTCTACAGTTTCTGAGCGTTGCAGTTTGACGTAGAGTTGGTTTGCATGGATGTCTACTTCTACTTAGTCGATGTCTTATGTTTGCTTTTCATTTGTGAATCTTTCTGTCTGTCTCTATAGATTATTTGGAAATGACTAGCTACTTATACACATCCTCTGTGACATTGTTTTTACACACACCTGCATGCTCCAGACCAGCAAACTGACCAAACACTTGCTTTTATTAAGGTAAAGATGCAAAGAGACTTGGTGTCATGTGCAACAACTCAAAATGTAAACAGATTTGTTCA